CGCTGACGGAGGGGAGGCTTGTCTTGAACCTGGTGGGCTCACGGCCTGTATCAGTATCGCCTCGTAGGTACTGCACAGCGACCGTAAACGCTGAAAAGACCTGGAAACTTTTGGAAAGCTCAGCATGGCCCTGGCCAGCGTGTCTGCGATCCCTGCTTTCCGATGACTGCTCGTGTACACCACTTCAGAGGGAAATAATGAGCATGAAATTCAATTATACAGGCGTCCGCCTAACCACCTCAACCAGAACTGAGTCCCTAACCTTTTATTTGGAAGATAAAGTGAAAAATCTAAAGCTCCTCTCCTTAGGATGGCATTTTCTTCCCTTTGTGTCTCGGCCAAGAGAATTCCCTCCAACCTACGGCTCTCAACTTCAAAGTCAGCTCTTCTCTTCGCTGCTGGCCTGCTTTTGAACCTTCCTTTACGTTCTCTGTGTGCTGAGAGAACACACCCACCACGGGACCTCGGGGGAACGGCCTGGGGAGAGAGGAGCTGCTGCTCAGGGCTGTGACACGCTGGCCGGGTCTCAAAAAGGGACTGTGCCTTGGGCTCTACTTGCACAGCTGCCACGCCGGGAAGGAGTGGGACAGGCTCAGGTCCTTGCGGGCTCTGGAAGGCGCTGGCCCGGCCACAATACGTCCCAGGCTAAGGCTGAGGCCAGCGGTCCAGAGCATCCTGAAAAGGCACTGCTCCGAGGACCCTATCTGGCCTCTTTTTCAAAGCCTTTTCTTCCCCCTCTGCTGGGTCATTCTCCACACTTAGGTCCCGCCCTCGGGACTCACATTTCACGTCACATGCCCTGCGTGGGGCCCCGTCTCATTTGCCTTCATGGATGAGTCCGCACCAGGCATGAGCTCTGGCCCCAGAGCAACACCGTTAAATGTTTGCAGGATGCTCGTCTGCACAGCAAAGCTTCCAGAACAGTGCCTGTGCTCTTGGGGATTCAGGTGGTGAAGCTATAAAACACAGTATCTAGGGAAATGGTCCTCCTCCAAAGCCCCTTTGCTCTGCCTTTCCCACTACTTCCCACTCAGATAAGAGCCCGAGAAGCTTCCCTAACCCAACCCAAACCCAGGGCCGCCCATAGACCCAAAACACAATTCCTCATGCCCCCGCCCCCAGGATTATTTAGCCTTTTTCAGTGAAAACACAACATCAAAAATGAGACTATTAGTGTTTTTCACTTTCAGTCTTTTTCCAGATGAAAGGACTTAGAAAGGATGAGAAGAGTTTACAGTGTTTCTATCAAACGGCAGGAAAAGCTGGACTGAAGTTGGGGACGGAAGGTCAGCCTTTAGGTCAGACATCAAGACCTTCCTGACAACCAGAGTTCTAATGCACTAGAATAAGACCACCAAAGAGCCCTCTCCAAAGAAGCTTGTGAGTTTGTTAAAAAAAAAAAAAAAAGAAAGAAAAAGTTATAATCCAAATGTAGTCTTTCCAGAGCCAAAGGGATGGATTACCTTCCCTCCTCACCCCATAGGCCCATGTGTCAAAATCTTCCCCATCCCACGAGGCCCAACTCAGCTGCGCAGAGGCTGTTGTTCTCCCCTGTACCCACCTTTTCTGGTACTTTGGATTCATCAACACTTGCCTATTGACACTCACCACGTTCAGATACTGTTCTAGCTTTTTTTGGGGGGGGGCACAGAAATGGTCTTGAAAGACGAGGTCCCTGTTGTCACAAAGCACACATTGCTGGGGGAGGGGGGGCCTATCCAAATGATAAACAAGGAAACAAATACACAAAACGCTCGTAACTAGTTTTCAGTGATATGGAAAAGTAAAACAGGTTAAGTAGCTGGGAGTAGTGGGGAGGCCCCTCCCCCCAGACGGGACTCTCCACAGGGAAGTGGGAGAGGTGATCACAGCTGAGGGCTGGGAAAACCAGCACGTTCAGAGGTGGGCAAGGGGAGCCCAGGAGGAGGGACCAGCAGGGACACTCGTTGGAGAGACAGGCACAAGCCACGCAAGTGGCTAAGGCTGAGCTGAAGGGAAAGAGGAGGCTGCTGCTGGCTGTGTTCCCCCGGGAACTGTTTGGTTGTCTCTCTTATGTAAGGAAGGATCTGGAAGGACTACGATCTCCCCACGGGGTGTTATGGACTGAATGTTTGTGCTCCAAACATCGTATGTTGAAACCCTAACTCCCAATATGATGGAATTTGGAAATGGACCTTTGGGAAGTAATTAGGGTTAGATGAGGTCATGAGGGTGGGGCTCTGGTCTCATGGGATTAGTGCCCTTGTAAGACACCAGAAAGCTCGCTTACTCTTTCTCTCAAGCTCTCCCCATCCCACCCCAAACGTGCACAAGAGGTCATGGGAACACACAGAAAATGGCAGCTGCCTACAAAGCAAGAGAAGAGGTCTCAGAATGAAAGGTACCTGTTGGCGCCTGGATCCTGGGCTTCCCAGCCTCCAAAAGTGTGAGAAGTAAATTTCCCTTGTCTACGGTATTGTGTTATGGCAGCCCAAGCTCATACAGATGACTAGTATGCTTGGCACTTGATAAAGAGTCTGTAAATTCTCTTCAATGAATCAGTAATGGAGTCAGGGGATCATTGCCCACACCCCCTTGGTCCTGCATAACTCATGCCTCACCCTACGTAAGAGGGACCTATAACCCTCCACTCAAAGCTTCACCAGATATTTCCAGGAGATCCTGAGAGAGCCTCACAGCAATCCAAAAAAAGTCATCACATATTCTTCCACTCCAGGTTTCCAGCCCGGCCAAGTTGCTTTCAAAACTGTGCCAACTGTCCCCATGGCTAAGACCCAGGTGTTCATGCTGAGGGTGACAGCCACCCTCTGGTCCCAAAGCTCCAAGACCCCGAGTGCCAACACGAGGCTTTGCTCCCTGCAGCCCCCATTGAGGCATGGGGTAGCCGTGGGGAAAGACATACGTTCCGTTCTGTGCCCTTCTCACCTAGCCCTAGAACTTCTATTTGGTCCTCTGCTGAATCCTCTAGGGAAACAGGTGCTTCAGCTTCTGCCTGCAGCCTGGTCTCCAATGAGTTCTCCAGACCACAGCTACTGTGTCCACTGGCCCATGAGATGTGTCTCAGGGCAGCAGACACCTGCAGGTAGCCAGTCACCCGCGTGCCAACTTGTCATCCAGGTCCCGTGTGACTGAGTCCCAAGGTCAAGCTACACGTTGAATAAGAGACCTGACATCCCTGGATTCTTGGGCTCTGTTCATGTCTAGCCATGAACTACATGAGGCTCTCTGGCACGTGGAAAAGATGCTGCTGAAAGGGATGAGCAAACTGACTCTTCCTGCAGAGGAAGGTGTGTGTGTGTGTGTGTGTCTGCTGTAGCTCTCTGGGGCTAGAATCAAGATATATGTCTTCAGTGTGCTGTTGCCAGTAGACGTTTGACTAGCACCCCTACACATGACATTTGTTTGTTCAAATGTCACACAATTCATGGTCCGAATGGGAGCATGGCGGGGCTGTAACACTGAGCAGCTGAGGACTCCCGAGCTTGGAGGCCTCTCAGGCGTGCTGCACCATGGCTGGCAGCCAAAGCCTGCACGGCAGAGTGCGTGGATCCCCACGGACCCACGTGCACACCGCACACACACATCCGCGCACACGGATGCACACGCGAGCAGGTAAGAGGCACCCCTGTCCTCTGCAGACGCTTCGTTTCTTTCATGTAATTTACACCCCCAAACTGTACTTTGCCCAATCTTGTCCTGGGGACTTGATTTCTTTCATGTGGTTCTCGGCACTAACGAGATTAAATCAGTTCCAATAGGTACCGGTTTAATGGAGATGATAAACTTTTATTGAACTTGAGCACATTAAAATGAAATGTAAGCAGTAGGTGATCTTGGCATTCTCCTGGGGTCTCTTCCAATTTGAATGAAGCCAGCACGCTTCTCTGGAAAATAACAGTTCCCAGCCCAGCTCGCCTTATGTGCTTAATTAAAAGCTATTTTTGTGGTATAAAGAGGAGCTAAACAATGTTACGTTCCTTCTCTTCCATGGAAGTCTAAAGAAACCATCTCCAACTGCAAAAAAAGAGATGGACGAGTCCTTCCTTCAAAACTGTAAAACCAGATCTTTACATTTGCACACAAAGAGCAGGTAATGCGGTATTTTACAGCGGCCTGTCTGCTAATCTGTGATCTGTTTTGTCTGTGAATGGGATTATCACGGTGGTTTATTGAAAAGAAGCCAAAAACGATATTAAGTAAACCGTTTACACAAAGCCACCAGGCTGAAAAAGCCAAACTCAGACTCATTTCAGGTTCTAACCAAAATAAACTTTATTACAGTTTCAACTGGACAGTTAAACCTTTCAGGGTCTGTTCAACTTGCTGAAATGTGTAGAACCCGAGCCCATGGCTCTCCACGGAAATTAGACTATAAATATCGTGGTTCATCTCTGAAGGTTGCCTTTCTTTGCAGTGCTCTGCGAGGCTCTCCCTCGGGCCAGGCTCCTGTCACTGCCCTGGCCAGTCCCATAAGTCAACAGAGGGAGGCTTGGTGCTCTGGCTCGGCAGGGGGTTGATGCAGAGCTGTCAGTAACCCTCGTGGGACATCTTTATGTCTCCAGGGGGGCTGGCAGGGATGCACCTGGCCTCTTCTGACCCTCGTGGTGGCCCCCCCGGTTCACCCAGGGTCAAAATGGTTTTTTTTAAATGACCATCAACTCTTGACCTTTGCACATCTTAAATTCTAATCCAGGGCCAAAACATTTCACAAGATGTGCTTTGATCTGCTTGAAAACAGAGAAAAGACCAGAAGAACAGAAACACCCACCGACGAAGCCCAAGTTGAACGCACTGTTTTGTCTCCTGGGGTTCTGGAGCAGGAAGCCAGAGAGTTCCCGTCCGCGTCCACTGTATCCACGGAAGGAACACGAGAGATCGCTTCTCCAGGTCTTACAGTTTACGGATCAGGAAATGGGCTCACGACAATCTTCCTTTTTTTTTTTTTTTTTCCTGAGCCCAATTTTTCTCAGAATTGTCTTCTGGACTCTGAAAAGGCTGTATCCCTTTGCTTTCACACCAATCATCCCCTAACCTCATCCATCCATCCATTTGAAGGATCCATTCACTTGAAGGATTCATTCATTTCAATAGATCCATCCATTCATTCATTTATTTGAAGAATTCATTTGAAGGGTGCCAGACGCTGAGTTAGAAGTGGGTGATAAAGAGTACGACAGGGCCCCCAACCTCGGGGGCTCACAGGCCAGTTGAGTGACAGGCGGACCTACAGGAATTATAATACGGAATGATACATGGTTAAATAAAGAAACTAAGTATCGTAGGAAGCCAGGTTCTGCTTGGTCTCCATCTCAGCTCCTCCTCTTCCCCTGACCTCTAGACCCCTTTGGATTCAGTCCTGGGCCTTCTTTTCTGCTTTATCTACTCTCTTCCCCTAGGTGGTCTCGTCTGGTTCCAGAGCTTTGAACAACTGTACGTTGATGAATCGTTTTCTGTCTCCATCCCTGACCTCTCCCCGGAGCTCCACATTCTTACTGCCCTCTGCCTGTCTGACCAGCTCCACCTGAATGATTAAAGAGGCATCTCAAGCTTCTGTACAAATAGTAAGTCATGACGTCTGCCTTCCCACAATGGCCCCACCATGGCTTTCCCCATCAGCACAGTTGTTCTGGGAAACAACTCAGGAGGCAGCCTTGACTCTTCCCCTTCCTCCCCTGTCCCACATCCAAGTCCTGTGGATTCCACCTCCCAAGGCACTGAGTGGCACGCGGCTCAAGGAGGAGCCTTGAGCTCTGTTTGCACGTTCCCTGAAAAAAATCTAGCTTCAAGACCCGTCACACTTCCAATCTGTTCCCCACACTGCAGTCGGTATATAATTTTTTAAACTTCAACTGGCATAATATCACTCCTCTACTTAAAATCCTTCAAAGGAATGAGACTTTCACTTCTGACAGAGGTGGAATAAATAGACTTATCCTCCCATATGAAATAACTAAAAACTAATACACAATAAGACATGGAAGCCACCTAAGTGTCTATCGACAGATGAACGGATAAAGATGTGGTACATATACAACAGAATATTAGTCAGCCATAAAAAAAGAATGAAATAATGCCATTTGCAGCGAAATGGATGTACCTAGAGATTGTCATAGTAAGTAAGCCAAAGACAAATATTATATGATTATAGCTTATATCTGGAACCTAAAAAAAATGATACAAATGAACTTATTTACAAAACATAGACTCACAGACATAGAAAACAAACTTATGGTTACCGAAGGGGAAGCGGGGGAGGGATAAATTAGGAGTTTGGGATTAACAGAGACACACTACTATCTATAAAATAAACAACAAGGACCTGCTGCAGAGCACAGGAGACTCTACTCAGTATCTTGTAACAACCTATAATAGAAAAGAATCTGAAAAAGAATATATGTGTGTGGGGGGGGGGTAACTGAATCACTTTGCTGTACCCCTGAAACTAACACAACATTGTAGGTCAACTATACTTCAATTTTAAAAAGAGATTAAAAAATACAAAATATATGCAAAACTATTTTTATAACATTAGATATCAGGCAATGAAGGAGAGTGATAGTTGAGACATGAAACAAAGTGAAGCCCTCTGCTGGCTCCAGCTTAGCGCCTGGAGAGAATGTCCGAGTCATGGCACAAAGACAGGGAAGAAAAGGCTTGGCAGCCTTGCTGAGTTGAGAAGCCAGTACTAGGAGTCCATGAAGCCAAGGAAGTCAGAGTTCAGGAGAGGGTGCTGGAGAGAAGAGAGCTAGAGCTAGAGCTAGAGCTAGAGCTAGAGCTAGAGCTAGAGCTAGAGAGAGAGAGAGAGAGAGAGAGAGAGAGAGAGAGAGAGTGTGTGAGCTGCAGAGGGTCCTCCTTGAGCCGCGCGCCACTCAGTGCGTATCTGTGAGAAAACTAACTGATATAGGGGGAAATCCACGTGCGAGGATCTGAGAGAATGATTTCTCAGTGGTCACTCAAGAGTGGCAATAATTTCTCTTCTCATTAGTCACAGTGAAAAAAGCCTGGAGATGGGTCTTGTGCCACTGACAGTAGCCTCTTCCTTAAGAATAAACAATGTCCCCCACCAACAAAAAAACTCTTAGGAATTACAAGTTAAACTAAAAAAAACATAGAATAAATTACAAAGAGCAAAAATCAATTAAACATAAAACAGGAAGCATAATAGAGAAAATAAATGAGACCAAAAGCTGGTTATGTGGGAAGATCAATAAATTTGGTAAACCAGACTCATGGCGGGGGGGTGATATTAACAGTATCAAGAACGAGAGGCGTGACATTACTATAGATTCTACAGATCTTAAAAGGATTATTTCTTACGGACAGCTCTATGCCAATACATCTGACAACTTAAAAGAAATGGATAAATTCCTTAAAAGGCATAAGGCAAACACTTGCTCAAGAAGAAAGAGATAATCTGAACAGATAATCCTTTATTTTTAAAAATTGAATTTGTAGCTTAAAGCCTTGTAAACAAAGGAGACTCCAGGTACAGATGCCTTCGTTAGTGAATTCTACCAAACATTAGGAAGAAATAACACCCATTCGAACAAACTCAAAGAACACTGAAGGGGGCCAATGCTTCCCAAACCATTTTATAAGGCCAGCATTACTCTGATACCAAATCCAAAAAAAGATATTACAAGAAAGGAGAACTGCCTAGGTACGAACTTTCTGAACACAATCTTAGCAAATTTAATCCAACAATATGTAAAGAGGATAATAAATCAAGTAGGGATTATTCCAGGAATGTATTTTTGGCTTAACGTTCAAAACAATCAATTAATAGTCCAAAAAAAAAAAAAAAAGATGACCATCTCAAAAGATTGAGAACAAGCATTTGACAAAATACAGCACCCATTCCTGATAAAAACTCTCAGTAAAGTAAGAATAGAAGAGACTTCTTTAACCTGATTAAAGGTATCTATGAAAAACCTACAAGTCACACACATGCACAAAAGTACATACCTTAGACCCAAGTAATTGATCCTATTTACATAAAATACTAGAAAATGCAAACTAATTTACAGTAACAGAAAGGAAATCAGTGGTCTTCTGAGGCTGCAGTCAGGGAAGGTTCTGAGTGTGGGATTACAAAGGACCATAACAAAACTTTGGGAGACGATGGCTATGTTCATTGTCTCAAGCATGATGATAATGTCATGGGTGTATGTGTATGTCAAAACTGATCAAACAGCACCCTTCACATGTGTTCAGTTTATTGTATGTCAATTATACGTCAATAAAGCCATTTAAAAAGTCCTTCAAAGGCTTTACATTGCTTTCAGAATAAAATCCAAAGTGACCTCAGAGTTCGACACGATCTGGTACCAACCTACCTTTTCAACCTACCTCATCTTTCATGCAAAAGTACCCCCCAAACATACCAAGCAATTTCCTGCCCCGGGACCTTTGCACTTACATCTCCCTGTGTTTGGAGTGCTCATCCTCTACCACTTATTTCAGCTCTTTCTCATTTTCTAAGTCACCGTTGAAATATCACCTCCTCACAAGGGCCTTTCCTGATTCTCTGTATTTTAAGTAGGCTCCTTCCAGATACTCTCACCTGCTATATTACCTTACTGATCACTTCTACAGAGCTTACCACACTAACTTGCTTGGTTATTTGTTTAATGGTATATTATCCAACTCCCCGCAACAATGTAACTCCTCGAGGGCAAGAATACGTCCTGTCTTACTCCTGCCCCTGGACCCAGCACAGTGCCTGGCATAAAGTACATTCTCACTAAATACTCATAAATAAGTATATATGAATAAGGGAATGAGAGCAATGAACTATGAGCAAGCTGAAAGAGATTTCACGGAAAAGTGACACAGAAGCTCAGTTGTGGGGAGTTCTTGTTCATTCTGTGATTACAGACAAGATTATTTAAACCATCTATTGATATTTTCTTATATATAAAACAGGGCTGCAAATAAGGATTTTAATGGCTATTGAAAGACATGAATTACACACACACACACACACACACACACACACACACACGACATTTATCATAGTGCCTGGAATACAGTAGCAGCTCAACAAATGAGTTCTCTTTCCTTTCCCCAATTCCAGCTGAGGGAGGGGAGCTCCATGGGGTAAAAGCATGCTCCCATGAAAGGACAAAGCATACTTGGAGGACCATGACAAAATGGAAACATTTAGGAGCATCATGGGGAGAAATGAAAGTCAAAACTGGAAATGCCCTTTGACACCAGGTTGTACAGGACCCAGCCATGTGCCCATTCTGGATTTCCATCTGTGAATAATAGGAAGCTGTAAAGGTGCATGGGGTGGCGGGGGGGGGCGTGGAGGAAATTAGCCTTGGGAGATTTAGAATTGACAAGAGTAACTGTAGTAACTGCATGAGTACTGAAGTGAAAGGAGGTAAAGAAAGTTTAGGGAAGATGAGAGAGAAGAACTGGAAGGTTTCTTTTAACTGTCTAGATTCCAAGAATGATGATGGAGAGGTATAGACTCTAATTTGCATCCCAGACCTTCACCTCCAAATATGTGTTCTGCCTCAGCCAGCACCACCTATCTCTCTTAGGGGAACCCCCAAAACTCACAGCATCAAACCTGAGACTGTGCGTTAGAGCAGAGGGAGCTCTTTACCACTGGTTGAAGACAAAATCAAACCAGGAGATGGGGAAGACATTTGAATGGTCATGAACTTTTGATATGATTTTTCATACCCGGAGGTTACTGACGAGAGCCATGGAGAATGTCAGTTCTTTTGATTAAGGAGAAAGAGAAGGGGTGAAATGTTTAAAATCCCCAAGGCTACCAAGACACAAAACAAGAGAATTGGCAGCAAAGACCCAAGTAGTCAGGCCTAGTACCAAACAAGGGGATCAACTGAGTAATAACGGATTTGCCGTTTGAAGGTCGACACCGGGGGTTGAAGGTTAGGACTCAGGCTTCCCTAGCAACTCTGTTGAACGGGGACATCCCTTAACAACAGATTCAACAGGCAGCTAACTGGTAAACCTGGAGGTGGTTTCACTCTTCCAGAGGAGAGAAAACTAAAGAAAGAGAAACCCTCGTGACAAATAAATAAAAATAACCAAATTTGCTGAGATTTACTCCTAATTGGAACTACAGCGGAGACTAATGCTTCGTAAGTTTGAATTTACAAGACGTGCCTGTCGGGAGCCATTTATATCCTTGGGGGTGGCACTGGCATTTCTGACTACCTACTACCAGGAGACCAATGAACCTAG